CAGTTTCTTGTATTGTCATTATACCTTGTTTAGTGTATTCGCCAAATCTTAGTTGAACGTGAAAGTCATTTGTTGGCTGAATTGCGAAGAGCGCATGATGAAGGCGTTCGATATTTCAATGAGCGTCGAGTAAAATCTGGAGAATTGCATGATCGTGCTAAACGAATGAGTGCTATGAGTGATCGAGAACAAGCAGAATTAAAAGATGAAATGGCAAGATTTAGTGCCGAAAAAGAAAGCGAGGAGAAGATTGCACGCACAACTCGTTTTCAGAGTGATAATGCTCAGCTGATTAAACTTGTTAAAAATTTTGGAGAAGGTTATTGTATATTTTTATTGTTTTGCTTTGATTTTTGTATCTGCAAGCGTTTTATGTAAATACTATATCTTCTTTGTATCATAATCCATAATTCGAATGATGTTTTTTCTTGATTTTTTCGTTTATAAAAACTCAAAGTTAGGAATCTTCCACACATACTATAACTTTCAGTGTTATTTGCATTTTTCATATACCTGCTATCACTATTTAATTTGAGCTCTTTGTCCTTAAGAATAGTGCAGTAATGATAGCCATGTTGCTGTTTATATTGATGTTTATTTTGACTTTTACAGTAGTTGGTGTCAGTAATATGGCTAGGATTATGAAAAATTCAGTAGCGCGTCAAGCGGTGTCTACTGCTCCAAATGGTAATATCAATCATTCGACTAGTCATTCCTCTATTGTAAGCTCACTTGGAGAAGATTCAGGTCTGGGACAAATTAGCCCCACTGGAAACGGTGATTTTGAAATCCGCTATTAAAGCTCAGAAGTTACATCTTGTGCGCAAGCACTTCAGTATCATTGTTATGTTTTCATAAACTATATAATGGCTTGTCATTCACTGAAGTAGACATTACAAGGTTCATTATTATTTACCATTAATTGATTCTATTTCTATGATTTCAGAGAGTAAAAATGTAGCAGAAATAGCGAATGGAGGAATCATGATGAAATCTGATGCTCTAACAGCTGAGCAGCTTGCTGACCTTAATACAAAACTGCAAGAATCTCTCAAAGCACAGGTATATATTATTAATGTTTTTTGAGTTCAGTAATATTAAACTAAGTGATCCTGCACTCGAGTGTCAATGTCTTTTTCTAAATAAAAGTGATCTCTATTTTGATTTACTAGTTATGACAAAATGGTGCACTAAACTATGAGCGATCATTAATTTGCACAATCATTGTTACTAACTTACAAATGAATCATTAAGCTGTACGTATGTTAAATTATTAAATACAGTATTTAATTTTGACTGCCATTAGTCATGCAATGAAGAAATAAAAGCTTCCGAATTTGCGTTAGATGATGTAATAAATTTGTTCAGACTACATTCAAGTAGTGCTTAATGAATAATGGTTGTACATGTTTGGAATGAGTGAAGTTTGATCCAAATACATTATTGGTTCATCATCAGAATTCAAATCAAAATTTTGATGTCATATTTGGAGACAGTATATATTTTCAGGGTATTGACATGTCAGTTTTGTCTGGTATTGGAAATAGGATGCCAACTAGACGACGACCTCCTGGAAGTGGTAGGAGTGGAGTGTCAAGTAATATGCGAGGAAGGCGAAGTGGGCCACAGCGTGGAGGAGGTCTGGGTAATAAGACATCAATTATTCGTGTCCCTGATATATCTATTTTAGAATCCTAGGCTTTAAATTGGTATTTTTTTGTATTAAAGTTGCCTTTGCTCATTTGAGTTAGCTTTTCTTATCTTTCATTCAGATTAAAATATGAAATCTTTGAAAAATTCTTATAATAAAAACAACAATACTTATTGAATTTCGTATTATAGAAGGTCGGAGTGCAGGTGTAGCACTTTTTGACGCTTCTGGTGTAAAAAAAATGTATGATAAAGTGAATAGTTTTTTATATTAAATCTTTTGAATAATTTTTTGAAGCTGAAATGTTTTTCTGCATATAAATGTTGTAGAAAATTTTTTAATCCTCATTGTATTATCAAGTAAGCCATTTTTGGATGTACTTCTATGCAACATTCAGATTATTCTCAAGAACAGTTATTTATATTGATGCTGTAATTAAAACAAGAAGTTTCAAAATATTACGGAAGGTTTACATAATTTTAATGACAAGTATGATTTTAATTTGCATGCGAGACTTAACAAATTAAAAAGTAGCATAAGAATGGAATTACTTCGATTTTATATATACGCGCTCAATTTTACAAGACCATAACGTTTTAGCCTTAGACTTTATTTCTCCTCTATTCATTGTTTCCTCTAACAATCTATTTGTCTACATGTCTATAATCAAGCGAAGCTTAATTTATTCATGTTTCTTGTAATAGTTTTTTATTTTAAATGTTTTTCGTCGCGCCAGTTTGGAACTGAATCCTTATTCTATTCTTTCTCGCCTATTTTAAACTCATTATGAAATTCCTTGGAACTGTCGTTGGAGTGCAATTTTTTTACTGGTCCACTTCACACTGTAAAGTGGAAATAAGTACAGTCAAACTTCAATCATTATATTTTGCTGTTGTTTATGATTGTTAGTAATGTTGATGATGTTAATGATAATGATGGTTTCCCTTTTAAATTCTTGCTTATGTTAAATTCTGAGATTTTATACTTTATAACTTTAAATGAAATCGTCAAATCGTTTGTTTCGCCCGCGACTGTTTCCCTTTGAAAGCATATTCCTTCTTATATGATTTTTCTAGTGCAGATGTCAATTTTGTGCTCTTATTCCTTTTTTAAAGTTTTTGAATTGTTTCTAGGAGCATATGTCACAGTTGTATTTATTCGCTCATTTCACTTTTTACCACACTGCAATGATTCTTGAAATTCACTTTTTTATTGCGCATCAGTAGTTCATAAGCAAATTTGTTATTATTTTATTCTGGCGGTAACTTATATAAAATTACTTTTTCGGGATTTTTGGGTGTTTATATTTCATATTGTAATATGCTTTATGCAGAAAGTCCACTTCTCTTTCATTTTACATAATAAATTATTATGCATAGTGTAGTTGTACTGTTCTGTGGAAGAAATCAAATTTCAAACAACATATTGTAACTTATACATTACATCTTGTGAACGTGTGGTACTAGTATAGTATTTCAGGACAGTTTAAATGCTGTCCATTCATGAAACAAAAATGTGGCTGACTGAAAGTGCATTGAGTGCTACTGGGAACTACAGAGATTTAAGCAAGTCATATTGGATTGTTAATTGATCAGTTTGTCAGTAGTGAGCGAGTGCGAGCAAGGTTTGATGTTTATTGGAATGCTGATGATTCGCTTTTTTGTGAAGAATTTGGGTTTTTCTGATGATTATCTGGACTTGGAAGTTTGCGTTCTCTTCTTAGGACTGTGTATTCTGAGCGTAAAACAGTGACACCTGCATTTATTTGGCATTTCGGCAAATTGCCCTTATTTTGTCTTCATTTCAAACTTTACAATTTTTAGATAAAAGTAGTAGCTGAAATGAACAAAAAATCAACGGTCTTTTAATTTAAAAATGGTCATTTAACCGTAGCAATCGTAAATCATGACGAGAAATGTGGTTGTGATGGGTTACTCCAATGTATTAGTAGTTTATCTCGTCAAATTGTGGTCGCTCTCCAGAGCTAAGGATTAGGAAGCTGGGTGTAAGTGAGAGGCACATGACTTTGTGGTTACAGATGTCACTGACGAGAACTAACAGCAACGCAAGAGAGAGTAACCATTTATGCTTAATTCCGAAATTTACTATGTATCTGGCATGGGACATTTATGTTCCCGCGTTTACTTCGAGATTTAATTTATGTACAAATTTTGATATTTGAAGTGACTTTGTTTTCATTACATCTACGGTTCCATGGGTTTCATTTTTTTCAGTCATAATTTGAAAGATGAGATGTTAGGAGCATCAAATACACTGAGTCATCGTCGTTATAATCCACTTCTCGATCAATGGATAATCATTGCAGAGAATCGAATTAAACGTCCTTGGCAAGGTGCTACAGAAGCAGTTAATGCGAGTGTTAGTCGAGAAGGACCTAGTCATCAGAAAAATGCCCTAGCTCCAGGAGGTCTTAGAGCTAGTGGAGAAATAACTCCTGATTATCAGGCAACATTTATATTTCCTAATGATTTTCCTTCATTAACAGATGATGGGGGAAAAGTATCGCAACCAATAGAATTGAACGAGACTGGTTTGTTTAAACGACAAACTGTACGAGGGATTTGCAGGTAAATACTGAATTCCGCAATTTAATTGTGATAATTTTTTCAGCGATTCTTGATTTTTAATGTAGCAAATCCTGAAATTTAATCAGTTGGTAGTATTTATCATTTATTAAATTTCAGGGCTTACTTGAAAGTAATCTCTAAATAAATCTCGATAAAAATTAATGACTATCGATTCAGTCATTCCTGATGATAAATACAGTGACACGTTTACAGAGTAATTTGTTACCATCCGGATAGCAACCTTCAAATGTCACAAATGTCACTTATGCAAATTGAAGATGTAATTGATGCATGGATTGATCAAATTAATGAATTACAACACAAATATGTTTGGATTCAGGTTCCGTACAGTTGATATATATAATTAACAAAATTTCTAAATTTGCATGTTTCGATGCAATTTAAAAAGAGAAATAATTTATTGGTAGAAAAATATTCAACGCATGCATTTCACGAAGTGCATGTTTATTCGAAAGTAGAAGAAATTAAATGTTTTTATTTCGTTGCAGCAAAATACGATACCCTAGTCCAACACACATTAATACCTTGTAGATATTCGAAAACAAAGGTGCTATGGTCGGTTGTTCTAATGTTCATCCACATGGGCAGTTATGGGCTAGTGACTTTCTACCTACTCTGCCTGCTAAGTGCTACGCTACGCAGAAAGTAATTTTAATGTAGCTTAAATTCATGAGACTGAGAAATATAAAATGATTGAAAATTCCTGTAAGTGATGATGAATTTAATTCAAAAATTACGCAAGTTTGAAATTCGTAGCTCACTCAAGAATTAACGTTTAAAACATTACTGTATAAAATATAGGCTTATTATGAAAGAACGGGTCGAATAATGTTGATGGATGTGTTACAATATGAAATGGAATGTGGTGAAAGAATTGTAACTTCTAATGATAGTTGGGTGGTAATTGTTCCATACTGGGCTTGTTGGCCTTTTGAAACAATGATTCTGCCTAAAAAGCATGTAATGAGCTTGAATGAAATTACTAAGGTGTACTTTTCCATTTAATAATCAAGTGTTAACGAATTTTAAGAATATTTCAACCAAAACTAAATTATTTATTTGTTGGTTTATGTGAAATAATAGAACTGTCAAAGAACGTATTTTCAATTTCATAACTAATTTTCTCACCAATCATATAAATTAATTCACTCACTGACAGAAATATAAGTATTGGGAGAAACTCATTATGCTGTCTGAAAAATTTTAGCTATCTTTGCTTTCGATCAAATTTCTGTAGGTGTCGATTTAAACTAATCAATTTATTTCAGGACGAGAAAAAATTGCTAGCACAAATTATTCAAATACTTCTTGTGAAATATGATAACTTATTCAAGGTAAATTTATTCTATGAAATTGTGGTACAAAAATATTTTTTGAGAAGAACTGACTAATCGTACTTAGAAGTAAGGGTATAGTTGGAATAATTGATTAGTTTGTTTAAAACATAACAAATCTTTCTTACTGAATATAAATCCCTACATTTCAGTGCCCGTTTCCATTTAGTATGGGATGGGAAGGTGCTCCAACGGGGCGTTACTTAAATGAAAATCGTAAGTTTTGGACGCTGCATGCTGTATACTTTCCACCACTGCTTCGCTCGGCAACGGTAAAAAAATTTATGGCTGGCTATGAACTTATCAGTGAACCTCAACGAGATATTACACCTGAAAAAGTACATTTAATCAATGTTAAACATATCCGTCTTCTTAATTGTGCATGCTAAAAATATATAACATCAAAAAGTTTGTTGTTGAGTTTTGTTATGAAATCAAGTAAATATACTCTAAATATAATATTTGAAAGCATTGTTTGCAGGCTGCTGAGATGTTAAGAAATCAGTGCGAAACGAACACATTACACAAAAATGAATAAGTGATGTGATTGGTAGAAATACATAGTGCTGTTGGTCACTTCGATCCAGAAGGAGGATTTAATCTTTGTTTTGTATTTTTAAATTTTTCCGCAAATAATTTTTTTCAAGTATTTCTAAAATATTTTCAATGAACAATGGTTAAATTATACAAGCATCAATCTCAAGTATTAGTAATAATTATGCGACTCTTTCTTAATGGTGTTGAGGATTGTGACTTTCCATCAGCACGTTCATTCTCTTTATCTATGCAACAATTTTTATTATTCCTGGTAATAAATGACGTAATAACTCATAATATTTGTTGATTCAGTTTTCTCCTTTCCATTACTTTCTGATTCCATGTTTACAATGATTTTAGAAACCTTTGATCATTTCTAGCGATCATCATATGGTGAAAGAATTATTCATTTCAATAAAATTACAACTACACAGTGCAAAAAACCATTACTTTTAGAAGCAGTTTTCAGGAAGCGTCAAGTAAGTAGTAAACCATACTTATATTTCCATATATAAAACAGCTGAAGTAGCTGAAACAGCTTCGTGGAGGATATGGGAAAGCACTTGACCAGTTAACCTTCGACCTGCTGCAAATGATATATTACATAGATTGCCGAGCGGTTGAGTTATCAGCTTTTTGATCGCATTGCAGGCAGGAATTGGAAAATAAAGGGGAAAAAACCGAACCTCGAATAATAAGTGAAAACAAATCGGAAAAAAGTAGGATTCTTGAGGGATATGGGAAAGCACTCGTCCAGCGTACAGAAACCAGCAGAATGAGTGCCGAGTGAGTACAGTGAGAATGCCGGCACGCGATCGAACGCTGGAATCAAGGAGACAGAAAAAAAGACTAACCTCCGGCCTGCTGCACATGTCTTATGTTTCCATATATAAAACATATATATATATATATATATATAAACATATATATATATATATATATAT